TACACACACGCCAGACACAGTCCCGCCCTGCTCCACTGCAGTGCATACACCAATCCCCGAACGCACCATATGACCGCCCCGAACAGGGATCGGCCACTGGCCGCATCCGACCCCTCGGCGTATGTTTACACGGAGGGCGCCCCGGTGCCGCCGGACTTCGCCCGGCGCCGGGCGGCCCTCTACATCAGCGATGACGACCTGATGGAGCGCATTCGCCAGGAGGCCGAAGAGGCCGCCCGCCAGGCCATCGAGGAGGAGGAGGCGGCCGCTCGGGCGGCCGCCCGGCAGAAGCGCGAGCAGCGCCGCAAGACCGCCGCCACCTCGCCGCCGGAGCCTGCCACCACCACCCCCGCCGCCGCCGCCGCCGCCGCCGCCGCCGCCGCCGCTACCAATCCCACTGTGCCCGGCTCGCCGACTGGCATTCCCTCCCAGCGGGTGGCTCGCAAAAAGCCCGCCTCCCAGGCCGGCCCGGAGCAGGACATCTCCCACCTGCTGACCAAGCAGTCGGAGATTGCCTCGCGCCGGGCGGCTGCCCTGGAGCTCGAGCTGCAACAGGCCCAGGCGCTGGCCACGCTGCACCGGCAAATGCAGCAGGCCGAGGAGATGCGTCTGTTGGGCGGCGCCGGCGCCGGGTCCCTGCAGGATGACGACGAGGAGGATGACCATGATGACGGGCCGGTGGCCGCCGCCCCGGCGGCCGCTGCTCCCGTGCCGGCTGGCACGTCGCGCCACGCGCCGGAGGGGTGTGCCCGTGCGGCGGCGGCCGCCGCCGCTGCCACTGCCCTCTTGGCCTCGGCCCCGACGCTGGTGGCCGCCGCCGGGCAGCAGGCCGCCGATGCGGCCGCCAAGGCGGCCATCTCGTCGAACCCCGCCGGGCCGGGGGTGCTGCTGCCGACCGCCGCCGTGGCTGCTGCCAAGGCGGCCGCCGCCAAGGCCGCCGTCATCCAGCCTGACCCTAGCCTCGGTCCCTTCCGCTACTGGATGGACTCCTTGATCCTGGACATCGTGCGCGACCCGATCTCCTACGGCAAGATGATCATGGGCATCATGGTGCCGCTGGCCCTCATGGGCGTCATCTCGGCCTACCTTCTCATGCGGGAGATCAATGCCGAGGCCAAGAAGGAGGGTGCGTGAGCATGTGGCGGGGGGGGGGGGGGGGGGGGGGGGGGGGGGAAGAGGGGGGGGGGGGGGGGGGGGGGGGGGGGGGGGGGGGGGCGGAGGATTCCGCGGGACGCGCCTACTGACACCCTGCGCACACCCACACACACAACCCGCACACCCATGGCCGCGGCACAGATCTCAAGCGCGCCCGCCAGCGGAATCTGGCCACTGTGCGCCAAGTGCGTGCCGGCAAGGGCGGCGCCGTCGCCGGGTCCTCCACACCGGATGCGCCTGGCGTCGTGAGCACGGCGCTCCGGTCGCCGACCGCCCGGAAGCGGTAGCCCGCACGCCGGGGCCGGGAGGAGGCACGGGGGCTGGCGGGGGTTGGCGCGTTGTCTGCCTCCCGTCGCCCACTCTCCCTCTCTCTCTCTCTCTCTCGGGGTGTCCTCTGCACCTTGGCAGAGGCCCAATATAGACCGCCAGCGGTGTACACTCATGCGTGCTTTACATGTGTGCGCGAGAACATGCACACACACACACACACACGTATGCCTGGTCAAGGCGGGTGGCGCAATGGGGGGGGGGGGGGGCGGGGCCGCAGGAGCACGCCAGGCCGCGGAGGGCTCAGGAGCCAGGGCTGTTAATCCGACTGCCAACGCATCCGGTCCGTGTGATCCCGCACTGTCGTCTCCGCCATCCGGTTAACGTTGGCGCCTCCGGGCCACACCCACAGAGAGGGCCAGGCGCCCGTGGGTTTACGATGGGGTTAACTGACATGGCCAGCGAACTGCGCTGGCTGGCGCCCCGCTCCGCCCCGCTCCACGCACGTACGCACGCACACACACACACACACACACACACTTACATCGCGGGCAGCTCCCCGCGCTGGGACTTCCCTGAGGGGGGCGGCGCGGGAGGAAAAGCAGAACACAGCACGACCGAGGCCACAACACACACACACACACACGCCGATGGCAGGCCATTCGGTTGCGCCCCCACACACATGCGTGGGATTGGCCCCGATCGGCTCTCGAGAGAGAGAGAGAGAGGGCCGGGAGCGCACCCCCCTCGCCCCTGCGCGCCCCCACAGAACAAGCGACTGGACACCATATGTGCGCCCAGAAGGGCGCTCCCCCCCCTCCCACACACACACACACACAAGGATCGGAGAGAGCGAGGAAAGAGGCAGCCTCGCGCGCGGGGAGCCCTCGCGCTGCGAGGGTGTGAGAGAAAGAGGGCGGGAAAGCGGCGATGGCACGCTGGGAGAGCCTGTACACAGGCGGCGCGGGCGCGCGCCCTGAGAGCGATACACACACATGTGCGCGCGCGCGCGTGCAGGCACACGGGGGGCGCGGCGCGACCCGCGCCTCGACACACAGCAAACACACACACAGCAAACAAAGAGAGAGAGAGAGGGGCGCGCACAAAAGAAGGAAAGGGCAAAGTTTATCGTAAGAATCCGTTTAGTTTCGAGAAGGCGGTGCGCGCGCGCGCGCGCGCAGGCGCACACACAGAGGCAAAGTACCACGAGGAGCACCCCACGCGCGGGAGGGGGAAAGGGGGGAGAACAACGGCAAAAGAGAACACGGGCGGTGGGGCGCGCGCGCAGCGGGGCCGGGGGGGGAGAGAGAGGGGAGATGGCTCCGCCTCACGCCCCGCGCCGCCGCCCCCCCCGAGGGGGGGTGCTGCTGCTGCCGCGCGCACACACACACACCAGCGCGCCCCGCTCATGCCATGTGTGCACACACCACACGCACACACACGCGCACGCACACACTCCCGTCTCTCAAGGCTCGCACTGCATCATTTAGGCGGACTCCTCAGAGCGGACGCGGGCGTTGGGGTTGGTGACCTTGATGCCGAGCTCCTTGGCGCGCTCAACGATACCGACGCGCTTGGCGGCGGAGACGTTGTGGGCGACCTCAGCGGCGTAGGTGTGGTTGCTCATGATGAGGATGTCGAGGTCCTTGACGTTGTTGACAACGAAGGTCTTGTAGCCATCAGGGCGCAGGAACTTGGTGGCCTTGTCGGAACCGAAACCGATCGAGACCTGAGGAGCCATACCCTTGAAGCGGCGACGCATGCGGCTATCGATACCGCGGTCCTTGCGCCAGGTCTCCTGCTACGGGTCCGGAGGGAGGAGAGGGAAGGGGAGGAGGCCGCTGTTAGCCACCCACCACACGAGAGCAGGGGGGGAGGAGAGAAAAGCGAGAGAAAGAGAAAACGACGGGGGAGGAGGAGGAGGCGGGCAAAAGGGGAGAGAGCGAGAGAGCGAGGGTCGGGAGCGCTCGCGCTTGCGAACAATCACAGCCCAACAGCAGCAGGCAACATGGCAAGGGGGGAGGGCACGTACACGACCAAGGCGGTTGTAACGGTGCCAGTGGTAGCGGTAGAAGGGCTTGGAGTGCTTCTTGACGATCTTCTTGTGGGGGACAGTAGCGGCCACCATCTTGGGGAGAGGAGAGAGGGAGAGAGCGAGGGAGAGGACACGAAGGGGGGGGGTTAGTTCGATGGATGCCTCTCTCGCGCGGCGAGCCGGAGGGGGCACGCAGGGGAGTGCCAGAAAAGGGGGGAGGGGAGAGCGCGAGCGCGGTGACAAAGAGGACGACGGGCCCCCGCCCCTCGCCAGCGGCCTGACGGGTGCGCAGTAGCATGTGCATGGCCAGACACACACCCCCCCCACACACACGGGGATGTGCATGAGCGGGCACGTATGGCCGCCGGCGCGCCGACTCACGCGCGCGCCCAACGGCAGGGGCAGCACACCAAACACCGCGCGCATCGGATGCAACTTCGGCAAGATGAATCCGACCCCGCGCAGGTTGGGCACAGACGCCGGGTGGGCAAATGCGCGGAGGGCGGCGGTGCCCAGCGGCAACAGGGACGAGGGCGCCCCCGCAGCACGGCAACGGCGCGGCTCCGACGTGAGGCGCCGCATGGCGCCCCCGATCTGCACTCACACACACACAGGCGGACACAGTCCTGTGCCGTGCTGGGCCAGATACGGGTCGGGCCCGGCCGCCAGTAGGCACACACGCCCAGCAACAGTGGAACCGGGAGGGGGAGGGGGGGGAGTCCTGACGTCGTCCAATCGGGGAGAGGGAGGGGCACGGGCGGGGAGGCGAGGGCAAAAGGCAATGCGAGAGAGAGAGAGAGAGAGAGAGAGAGAGAGATGTGGGAGGGGGAGGAGGAGGAGGGGCGGAAAGCAGAAGCCGTACTTTTGCTAGTGCTATTCCGAGATTATGCCAGAAAACAAATCGAAATGAACAGCTGGGGAACGACCCTTGGTGCAGTGGGTAGGACGGCGGGTGCACTTGAAGGCAAGGTGCGCCCGGCTCCCGGAATTCCGCCCGATCCCAGGGAGGTCCCCGCCCAGGCGGCCGGGGCGTGGCCAGGCGAATGTCCTCCCCCCCCGGCCGCCCCCCGGCCCCCACCCCCCCCTCCCCCCCCACCCCGGGTCGA